GATTAATCCTAAATGAAAGTGGCAATTGATTATTCTATAAACTAAAATGGGACTCAAGGCTTAGTTAAGCTAAGCCTTAAACTTCCAGATGCTTCCCTTTTTTGCTCTAAGCTTACTAAAAAATGTTAAAGAAGTGGGTGAGTACTAGCGTCATCTCAGTAACTCAAGTTCTACCATACTGTTCGTCAGGAACAACAAATTACCAAGCATGCTAGAGACACTGAGTCTTAATCAGTAACAAAAGGTTCTCGGGCTTCCTTATCATAGTTTACCTAGATGTAAAAGATATGCAAGACTTGGTAGAAAAAGTGTTTGATTACTACTAAAAGGTTACAAAACATAAATGGTTACAAGTCTAGAATGAAAAAAAACTAACCGATAAACCTAAAAAGTATGGGTGCAAAGTGCGAGTCTTTTGAGTGATGTCTGTGTCCTCTTCTATGATTTGGTACTCTATTTATAGTGATAGAGTGACGGTAGTTTTTTCTTAGAATTTGGAATGTTCTTATGGATAATCAAATTTTGTGAAATTCATGGCATGGTATTTTATCATTGTTTTCCATTTTTAGTAACCAACCCGTTTTATCAAGATACTTGGGCACAATGATTCTATTCTCGTGAGATCCGAGATCGTTTGAGATTATGACTTTATGCACCAATGGTCTATGATAGAACACATTTGTTACCCACTTTTATTTATCAATTAGGACCCTTTTATTAATGATTTATCACCTTCAAGTGCACACATTGCATTAGATTTGTAATTTTGCCTAAGTTTCTAGGTTCAGTGCACTAGGGGCATTTTGGTCCAAAAAATAAAATTTTGAGAAAATGTACAAGAAAAATTGACAAAGTGCATTTTATGTCCATTTGATGAATGGTGAAATTATATTTTTAAAATTCATTTTAGTTTGGGAGTAATTAAATAAAAAAGTCAACACTTTCTTAAGTGTCTTAGTTTGTCCTAGTTTTTGGTTTGCCTTTGTGTGAAAATTTTTATATAATTTTGTACAGCCTGAAACTTGATTAATTTAATAAATTCTCCCTTCTAATTATAAATTTAGTTCTGAACATGAATTAGATTTTTTTATATCATATGCTATTTAATTGAATTATGTGATTTATGTGACATAGGTGGCATGTGACTTGTGCATCAATTAGGCAATTGAGGTCAACACTCCTTGAGGTCAATGGCTAATGGTTTGCACGTGAATTATGATTATTTTGAGGGATTAAATCAGTTAAAATGATATGGATGACACATGGGAAATTAAGCACACATTGGAATCATCTACAAACCAATAGGAAGTTGCCACCTTGCAAGTGTGACAAGGCTCCCACTTACATTTTAATTTCTTTTTCCTTATTTTAATTAAGCTTCAGCTGATAGGAGACACCAAGGAGCACGCCATTTTAAGCCCCAAGTGGGATCCAACACATATCTCATTCATTTTCCACATTCTCTCTCTCTTGTTCATAGTGTTCTTCATTTTCTCTCTTTTGTTCTTCATTTTCCAGCATCCTAACCTCCATTTTCAGCCACCAAACCTCCACAAAACTCATACCATTCTTCTCCTCTCTTCATTTTCGTTCCATCCCTTCCATTTTTACAAGGATTGAAGCTCATTTCCATCATTCAAGAGCTATGGAGTTTGGCCTTCACAAGCAATCACCAGGGTTCTTGAAGATGAAGGTTGGCTAAGTTTCTTTGTGGAATCCTAGAGAGATGAAGATGGAGGATGAGTCTTGAGCTTCAAATTGGCTAAGTTCTTTTGTTTCCTATCCTCTTCTCTTTTTACTAGATTGTTAGATTCCTTAATCTAGGGTTTAATCATCTTAGCTTATAAATTCTAATTTGAATTTGATGTTGATGTAAAGAGAGAGGATTGTTTCATTTTATTTCTTCCTTGGAAATTCATGACTGAATTTTGCCACTCTTTGTTTGGCACATAATCTTGTGTTTTTCAATTAGTGAATTTCTTGTGTTAATATTGCATAATCTTGTGGTGTTAATGCTTGTGTTGTTGAGTAGCTTGACATAATCTTGTGGTTGCTCAATTTATGTGTTTGACCATGGCTGTTGAGAGAGGATTTTGAGTGAATCACTTGGCTAATGTCTTCACCAATTGGTTAATTGAACTAGGGACTTTAATCTAAGACCTAGGGAGGTTAGCTAATTAGGTTAATTGGCTTAGGATAATTTTCTTAAGTCATGACAGCTTTAGTTAAGAGGAAAGGGAAGCTAAACTTAGCCTAATCATGAGAAGATAATGAGTCCAAAATCAACTAATCTCTAGGGTTCCATTATTGTGAAAAGGAAAGTTCATTTCACTCACTTTCACTAGCATGTTAATTACTTGCATATTAGGTAATTAGCTAGGTAACTAAATTCCTACAAACTTTGGTTGATTTATTTCACTAGATAACTTTCAATTAGACTTAAAACCATTCCTTGGGAGATGATCTAGGGTTGGCCCTATATTGCATTAGGGTTAGCTTTAGTGTAATTTTGAGGATAAGCGACTAATTTCCTATCAAAATTTTGGCACCGTTGCCGGGGAATGGTTTAAGTTTAATTCTAAGATTGTTTAGTACTTAATTTACATTTTTAGTGTTCCTGGAAAATTTTTTGAAAAATTATAAAATTTTGTGTTTTGTGTTTTGTTTAGTGTTTTTTGTGTGTTTTGAGTGTTTTTTCTGTTTTGAAAAAGAAAAAAAAAATTTAGTCCAATTTTCGTTGGTTTGGTGTAGAGCTGAAAATACTCTGTTTCTAGTATCTCTATCTGAAATTGAAAAATTAACTAGGAATGAGTCTGTGGGAATTTGAACTTGAAATTTATTTCATTGAAAGCTCTATATCTTAGCTTCACTTTAAAATTGGTTTGGTTAATTTTGGACGTGGGAAGTGTCCTGTGGAAATTTTACAATCTAACAAGGTCCAGGGAGCTATTACAGAGGATTCCCAAAACCCTATTTCAACTTTGAGTTAGCATATCTTCCTCATTGTGCGTTCAAATTGATTGATTCTAGTTTCATTTTTCTTATCACTGTCTTATCTTTGTTTCTTGTGTTTATTATTTTCTTCAATTTTTTCATTTTCCTATTTAAAAGTTTGTTAGAAGCTCTAAAGGTCTTCTGGACGAAATCCTGTTTCTCCAGACCTGAGGACCAACTTGTGAAAAATTCTGGGAACGATTGGGAAGGAATTGTAATCTGAAAGTTTTATATAATTTTCCTGTATATCTCTTGTGTTTCTCATAAAAGTTTCAGGGGAATTTATCATGTGGATTTGCTGATAGAAAATTCACAAGTTCACTGTCTCCAGAGAGCCTACTGTGCGAATTTCAGAATTGCCAAAGCTTCTTGATTGAGCATTTCTAACTCTCTTTCTACTTGTTTGGTGTTATTTTTTTTTCATTTTGTTGCCATTGAGTATATTAAAAAAAATAAAAAAAAATTATTTCTCTTGCTTTTGTGTGTTTTGAATTGTTTCGTGTTGATTTGCATTTTAGTTTGGCTTGTTCTTTGTTCTTAATTTTCTTGAGCTTGATTAGTGCATGACCCGAAGAAAACATACCTCTTTTGTTGAATTAGATCCAAAAATTGAAAGGACTATTTCTAGATTGAGAAGATCACAACCTATTCTTGATTCTCATTTGGTTTGCAATTCAACAATGGAAGGTATCTTTGGACATGAGCATGTGCATAATGAGGGCCATGGGAATGGGAATGAGAATTTACATGATGATGGCCATGTTAATAATGAATTTGAAGGCTTGCATAACCCTAGAGAGGAGAGGAGAATTAGGCAATTAACTCAACCTAATTGGGATGATAATCCTTATGGCTTATATGTTCCTCCTACTAATGTTCAATTTGAAATTAAATCCTCTTTGATTAATGCATTGCCTAAATTTCATGGGTTACCAGGAGAGGATTGCCATAGGTTTTTGCATACTTTGCTATTGGTTTGTGATACTATGAAGCCTATGCATGCAAATGTTGATGATGTTCAAGCTAAGGCTTTTGTATTTTCTCTTGAAGGTTTAGCAAAGGAGTGGTATTTCAACTACCCTTCTTATGTGAAAGTGAGCACATGGGCCGAGCTAAGAAGACTCTTCTTAAATAAATTCTTTCCAAATTCCAAGGTCACCAATTTGAGGAAGCAAATCTATGGGGTCCAACAAGGAGAGGATGAGAGTCTCTATGAGTATTGGACTAGATTCCAAGGCCTTTTGGCTAAATGCCCACACCATCAAATTTCTAGTGAGAATTTAGTCCAATATTTCTATGAGGGCTTGATTCCAAGAGACAAAGTTAACATTGATGCCGCTAGTGATGGAATGCTTGATTGACCTCACTTCCTTAAAGGCTTGGGAACTAATTGACAAGATGGCTTCAAGTGGTGCTCAATACTCTACAAGGAAAAAGAGAAATGTGAATATGGTAGGTTCTTCAATTCTTAATGATTCATATGTGGACTTGCTAGCTGCCAAGATTGGGAGAATGTTGGCTCCACAAATATCTCAAGTGAGCAATGTAAGTACTTCTCAAGCACTTGTCCCTTATTCTTGTACTTTTTGTGACTCACCTATGCATGTAGAAAGCAATTGTCCTATTAAGTTTGAACAAGTAAATGCTATCTACAATGGAAAACAATCCTATGGTGGGAGGCAAGGGCAAGGAGCTTATTCTAATACTTACAACCCTTCATGGAGAGACCATTCTAATTTCTCCTATTCAAATCTAAATGTGGCTTTACAAGACAATCAACAAAGAGGATCCTATCAAAACACCTTTGGCCGTGACCCTCCACCTCATTTGTCTCAAGGTAGCTCTTCTCAAAGCTACAATCCAAGTGGTAATTCTCTTACACCTTCATCTAATTCTTATAGTGATAGGAGGCTTGTTCCATGTGAGAGTTCTTCTAATTCGAACTCTTCTAATGATGTGAATGTGTTACGTAAGCAATTGATTGAAATGAATTCCTTGTATAAAACATGTATGATGGCTTAGGGAACAAGGTAGAGAGTATGGGTAATAAGTGTGAGAACATGAACTCTCAAATGAATATGCTTGCTAACCAATTAAGTGCAGCCAATGCTCAAGCCTCTACATTACCATCCAACATTGTTACTAATCCTAAAGCTAATCTTAATGCTATCACATTGAGGAGTGGCAAGGAGTTGGGAGAAAGAGTGCAAGAAGACAAAAGACAAGGGAAGGCCGAGAAGCCCTCTTTAAATTCTTCAATTGATGTTAATGTTTTTAGTTCTTCTTTTGCTCCTAATGATGCATCTTTTTGTAAAGATGATGAGGATGAAAACATTGAGGAGATCATATGTGAGCAACCACCATCTAAGGTGAAAAAGGGGACTATGGCCGAGTTGTTTGGTAAGGAAAAAGAGGGAGAGGCCGAGCAAAGTGAAACAAGAAAGGAGAGTTCAAGGAAGGAAGAAGGAAAGCAAAGTCAAGAGATTATGAAGAAGCTTCCTTTTCCACAAGCACAAGTGGTCCCTAAGCAAGTAAAGGGACAATTTGATCAAGAGGTATATGATTTCTTCCATAAGATTCATGTTAATGTACCCTTGATGGATGTAGTTAAGAACTTTCCTAAATATGCCAAATTTTTGAAAGATTGTTGTACAAATAAAAGAAAATTTAGGCCTAATGCAAGGGTACAATTACCCTCATCTGTGAGTGCTATCATGAAGCCTCAACTCCCTATAAAATATGAGGACCCCGGTTTCTTCACAATTCCATGCAAGATTGGCAACACACATTTTTCTCATGCATTGATAGACTTAGGTGCAGCTATTAATGTTATGCCTCTTTCAATTTATCATGCCTTGAGTCTTGATTGCATATATAAGACACCTATGATATGCCAATTAGCGGATAGAAGTGTTAGAAGACCACATGGAGTAGTAAAAGACTTGTTGGTTTGTGTTAAAGGTCTATTATTTCCTGTAGATTTCTATGTGCTTGATATGTCAAAAGAAGGAAGTGGGGATGATATTTTGATTTTAGGAAGGCCATTTATGAGGATTGCCCGTACATTGATTGACATGGAAAAAGGTAGTTTGATTTTGAAATGTGGAGAGGATCATGTTATTTTTAATATATATGAAGCAATGAAACATCCTTTTGAGGATTATTCTTTGTCAGGTGTAAGTTCCATTGAGTTATTGCTTCATGATGCTTGTGAGTCTCACATGCTTGATTCTTTCTCACATGTTGATGATGATTTGTCTCTTGTTACTACTACATGCATTGATGGATGTAGTTGTCCTATTTGTTTAGAGATTGATGCATGCTTGAATGATGCAACTACTTCTTCTCATGATTTGTTTAAAATATCTTCTATGTTTGATCTTGAAATGCTTGAGAAGGGTATATCTTCTTGTGTTGTAGGTACTAAAGCCATTAAGGCCGAATCTATGAGTTTTTCTCCACTCGAGCTTGATGTTCTTAGGATTCCCAAGCTATTGGAGGAAAATTCTACACTTTCACATATCGAGGCCGTGGCTCAAGTCCAAGCACCTGAGGACAAGTTGCAAGAAAAGGGGGAGGCTATAAAGAAAGAAGAGGATAAACCAAATCTTTATGAGAAGCTTCTGGTAATAATTTCTAACTCTTATTTTTTTGTCTTATTTTTTTGCCTGATAGTGTTCGGTCCTAGTGAATTTCTCAGCATCTTTAAGTCTCAAAAGTTCAGAGAACTCTTTCATCTTCCCTACTAGACTTGGAATAAAATGCCTAAGATAATTAACTTAGCCCAAAAATCTTTGTAGCTCTTTCTTATTGCATAGCACCTTTGCTTCTAAGATGGCTTGTGCTTTCATTCGATCTACTTTAATTCCCCTTCTGTGGACCAAGAATCCAAGGAAGTTACTTGTAATTAAACCGAATGCACGTTTAAATGGATTTGATTTGAGGCCTACTTCCCTCATTCGAAGGAAGCTTGTCCTCAAATGCTCGATATGATCTTATGCTTTTTTCAATTTGATCATTATATCATTTATGTATAATTTCAAATGTTTTCCTATCATATCATGAAAGATGGCATTCATATCTCGCTGATAGGTAGCCCCATCATTTTTCAGTCTAAATGGCATGACCACCTATTCGAACATTCCAATAGAGCCTAGGTACCTAAAAGCAATTTTGTGGATGTCTTCTTTCATGATAAATATTTGATTATATCCTGAAAAAAATTCCATAAATGATATTAATGCATTCCCAACCCTAGTTTCTATTAACCTGTCTGCAATAGGCATTACATACATGTCTTTAAGTGTGGCCATGTTTACATTTTGAAAATCTACACAAACCTATAGCTTTCCATTTTTCTTGATTATTGGAACTATGTTACAGAGCCACTGAGCGTACTTACAAGGTCGAATGAATTTGGCCCATAAGAGGCATTTGATCTCTTCATTTACCCATAGCTCTACTTCAACTTACATTCTTCTGATAGGCTATTGATGTGGTTTATAATTCAGCTTTATAGGGAGCCTATGTTCAACCAATTGTCTTACTAACCTTGGCATTTCATCATAGTCCCACGGAAAGCAATCCTTAAATTCTTGTAATACCTGTTTAAAGGCATTCCTTTGTTCCTGATCTAACAATGAGCTAATAAAGGTGATCCTCGGTTCCTCTAGGGATTCAAGGGTTACTTCTTCTAACAAATCCTGTACCTCTAGGCTATGTCTTTAAATTTTAAAGTACAGGGTCTAGCTCATGTACTTGTGTTATTTTCTAGGTTTCATCTTCATAAATGACTTTAGTCCTTAGAGTTTTGGGCCCATAGCCTTCCAATCACTCTTGCATGTTTTGCAGCCATAGTTTTTGGATGGTCACAGCTGTTATGGCCTTTTTGTGGTCTGACTCAATCATCTATCAATTCTATGATGGGTTCATGCCTCTGTGATATTAGAGGTATGATAGCATGTGTTGACAATTTATATGGAAAACTTTGTTCAGGATCTTTTGTACCCTTCGAAAGGTAAAAGGGCCCACATCAACATTATAGTACCTCGCATATATTAAGTTTGTGATTGGTGTAAAGGATTTGTCTTCAACCTAGACTACTTCCACTTCTTCCCCTTTCCACATAAGAAGCATTTGGTATAGCAAGGATAGGACACACTTGTTAGTATGGATCCAATCTCAACCTAATAAAGCCTGGTATTATGCTGTGGTACTTATCACGAAGAAAGCTATCAGAGAGGATTTAGACCTGACATCAACTTGTAATGGCAATACACCAAGGACCTTCAAAGGAGTCCCAATGAATCCCACTATAGATACCTCTGTTGGCATTAAGACTCATTCTTCCCACCCCATTTTGAGCATTACACGGGCTAGTAATATATTTGTTGTTGAGCCATTATCCACTAGTACTTTATTCATAGGTTTCCCATCAAAATATCAAGGGCTTTAAATGTTGAGTCATTTTAATGCTTGGTTTTTCTAGGATAGCCTGTTTTGGCTTTCCTTCTATGGCCTATAAGGTAACTTGACACACGAGTTCTGTTTCAGCCTTCCCTGCTTGTATTTATATCTTCATTGGTTTAGGCTCCTCATCCTCTCTAGGTTCTATCGGGCAATATTGATATGAACTTGTATGCATTGCCCTTGAGTTGTTTTGATAAGATTGGTCATGGGTCCTATTAGTGGTAGACCTAAATTGGGAAGGGGCTTTAATGAAACCATGCAACAGAGATTAAGAGGTATCTCCTAGATGTGGATGGCCCCTTCCATTAGTTTTTGTTCTTACTCTCCTCATCTTGGTCTTCTGTTGACCTTCTCTTGAACTTGCTTGCTTTCTGCCAGTTAGTGCTCTCTCGAGCTTCAACCTTTTATTGCTCAAAGTACCTTTGTACAGCCCGTTTACACTAGAGATGTTGTTTTTGAGTTCTAGTTAAGACACTTGGAAATTTTTGGTGCGATACAACTTTTCACTTCAAAGGTGGCACATTACCAGATGGAGTAACCAACCTTCCTGAACTTTTAATGGCCTTTGGTATCGAAGGAAGCTTTATAGTGTTCTCTGATACTGTTAAGGGTAGTCCATTAAGGCTCACATCCCATCCTGAAGGTGTTCCAGTGAAAGGTTCCCTTGCTCTTGGCGGTGCTGAGTATTTAACAAAATAATCAAACTTGCCAGATGGTTCTCTTAGGTGGTCCCAAACTACTTTAGACGTGTTCGGGCCTTTCATAGGTAACCCCTTCGAACTAATATCCTATCTCGAGGGCTGATTGCTATCCTGCTCTGTTGTTTACCATTTTTTAAAATATGTCCTACCTGTAGGCTCACCTAGGTGGTCCCAAACCACCTTAGACTTGTTTAGGCTTTTCATATTCTGTCCACCCTAACCATTGTCCTATCGCAATGGCCTATTTCTATCTTGCTTTGATGTTTTAAGGTCTAACCAGCCTATAGGTCCTTCCAGATGATCCTCTACCATTTTTGTGCTTTCTTATTTTGTCCAAACATTCTTGGGCCATCCATCTCTTCGTCTACCATCATTCTTCTTAGTTCGCTATCTATTAGAGTTTATTCTACCATGTTGATTGTGGCGAATAGCAGAAATGGGTCCCCATCCATGACCATGGATTCCTCTTTTGGAAACTTCAGGATCCCTTTATTAATACGATCTTGGACAATATTCTTAAATCCCTAACAAGTCTTAGTATTGTGACTCCAAGAATGATGGTTTTTGCAATACTCCTTCTCTCTTTGTTCTTCTTTTGAAGGGATCTTGTGATCAAAGGGTAATCAGATAAACTTCTGCTTGAGCAAGAAATCTTTATATTTCCTCTATTTTGAAAGTGTCGAATGGATACTATATTGAGTTAGGCCTTTTAGCGGTCTCCCCAGCCTTTCATATTAGGGCTGGGCACATGTAGTTGCCTGCATTTTTTAGTTTTGCAATTGCTATGTTAAGTTCATCAAAGTATGTGCCTATTGTAATTCGTCAATGATGGTCTTCCTCCTTCAACGATTCCTCATACCCACAGATCTTGGCTGTGAGCTCATAAAAGTCCTTAAACTCTATCCCTTAGAACTTTCTATGTAGCTCTATATTGAGTCTTGCTTGAGCCTATTTGATAAACTCAACCTTTAGAAGCGGCATATGGCACCTCCTCAACCTTTTTTAAACCTCACCAAATATTGATTTGCTGCTTCCCCAACCCATTTGGTAAGCTTATAGAGTTTTGCTAAACTCGAGTTCTGCCTTATAAAACTGCACATGGAATTTTTGCTCCATTTCCATCCAGCTAAGGATTGAATTGCGAGGTAGTGAGGTGTACCATATGAACATTGGGCCTATGAGAGTGTTTGGGAATAATCTCAACTATAGGTTGGTGAAGTTGTCATAGTTGGTGATCTCTCCACATTAGATAGTAAACCTTCTAATGTGCTTTAATGTAGACTGCTTATCGTTTCTTGAGAACAGAGTAAAATTAGGAATTTTATACCCCTGAAGGTATGGGTTATCCTTGTCTATGTATTCAAGGTAAAGCTTTGAGAAAGTAGCACAACCAATCGGCCTTAGTCTTGGTTCGTATATGTCCTGAATGGCATCCCTTAGAGCTTCCATATTGACCAACTGATTAAACAATTTGTTCTGATGTTTTGGGACTACTCCCATACCCCTCAGGCCCCTCATACTAGGTTCCTGTAAATAATACAAGGAATTATTTAAAAGGTTAGTGTTAGAAAAACATGGGGATTATGATAGTCCCTTACAGCCGTGTAGTCCTGAGGGCTTGTGGTTACATTAATTCCTGCCTATTGTCCTCCACATAGCCCCAAGTTGAAGCCTGCTTCTAGAGGAGTCCCTTTCATAGATGCGGCTAAATTCCTCATTCCATCATGCAAAGCCTACATCATGAGTTGTTGCCTTTCCTTTTCCTTGCATTCTGACGTTTCTAGGGAGATGGCAAAGAACTTCTAATTTTCCTCCAGCTGTCTATCCATGCAATTTTGAATTCCTCATAGAACTTTTACTATTGGACTATTGGATATAATTAGTGGATATATTTATTCATTTCCTGGTTTTATCCTAGGGCTCATGCTGTTGCTACCAATTAACATTAGTACTATGAGCTCATGATGTTCAACTGTCTTAGCTTCAGGCATCAATGGTTCTAACCCTACAAGTGCAGAGTTTCCTTCTGGTTCATGAGAACCAGCACTTGTTTCATCAGTCCTTTTGTCCTTACTTGTCCTTGCCATCTTGTTACACAGGTCCCACCTGGCGTGCCAAAACTTGTTTGTCAAGAACAATAAATTACTAGGCGTGTCAAAGACACTAAGTCTCAATCATTAACAAAGGATTCTCGGGCTCCCTTACCACAGTTTACCCGAATGTAAAAGATATGCCAGACTTAGTAACAAGCATTTGATTACTACTAAAAGGTTACAAAATGTAAACGGTTACAAGTTTGGATGGAAAAAAAGCTAACTGATATACCTAAGAATTATGGGTGCAAAGTGCAAGTCTTTTGAGTGATGTCCGTGTCCTCTTGAGATTTGGTGCCCTATTTATAGTGATAGAGTGACGGTAGTTTCTTCCTTAGAATCTGGAATGTTCTTATGAATAAT